GATCGCGGAAACGCGCGGAATGCCGCGTGAGGCGCGCGGCCAGGTGAAATTCGGCCGCGTCGTTGCGGTGTGCGTCATCGGAAGCGATGTAAAGTTCCTCGCGAGCTTGCGCGAATACTATTGTCCTGAGGTAGCCCAAAGATCGGCGAAGAATTCACAGAGGTAAAGGCTCGATAATGATCAACTTGGCCAAGGTTAACGTCCACCTCGAATGGCGAGAAACGTCAGGATAGTTTAAACCAAGTTTAAAACGAATGATTCGGTTAGACCCGGAGTTGAAAAGTTGAAAAGTTGAATTGTAAACATCCGAGTCACATCCGACAAATCGTCTCTTTCAAAATCGGATCTTTCAAAAAATTCGTATCTTTCATGAAGCTTTACGCGCTCGGAGATTGCCATAAATTCGTCTTGCAACGTACGCAATTTCCGTTTCTACGTTTCGGTGTTTTAAATTAAATGCGCGAAGGTTGAGAGATGATCTTGTCAATCAGACAGACATGACAATTGACATGACGTCGCGAGGAATCTATCTTCGAAATATATCGTGATTACCTCGTCGACGTGCCGTTGACGGGAAACCACTCGACACCTGGTCGCCTTTGTACGTTCCGCAGTCGCGCACGTACGTATGTATGTATGTATGTACGTCGACTCGACGGGAAGGCACGCATATGGCGTGCCGGTTATTTCGCGGGCAAAACAATGCGAGCGAGTTCTGTTGTCGCGCGCAGCTGTTGCAACGGCGAAACAAAATGCAGTTGGCGGTATGTAACGCGTGTCGGAGAAAGTGCATTCTCTATTCACATCGGTCCGCGGAATCTCGGGCGTGACACTGAAGCGTGACGTCATCGGTACCCAAGATCCGCTCTCGTCGCGGTCTCATCGAGGATGCGTCGCGCCACGATTCTACGATATCGAGACTCCGTTTATCCGTTCTTTATCGCTCGTTGCCCGGAGGCGCTTACGCGGCGCATTACTATTAACCTATCGACCGGAGGCTCGGGCCCGGGGCCCGACTTTGCTCCGATCGGCACGGCGGTCGAGATCGGAGACGGCGGTCTCGTCTCGGTTATGGCGAACACAAAGGCGGATAACTGTATCCCCGATCTGTCTCGAGTCGACTCGTTTGACCTCCAATCGTGTACCTCCAGTCGTTCCGATCGAAAAACCGTTGGTCGACCAACGGAGAAAGTCGCGCGCAGCACACTTTTTCATCGCGCGCGCGTGTTCGGATATCGCGTGGACTCGGTCGGTCCGACTCGTGAATTCGTTCGCGATAACGCAAACGTGGAGAGAATCGGAGAATCCAATGCCTTGTCTTCTTCTCGTTGTTGCACGGCGTCGGAGACGAAAAGATAACTCGCTCGTGTTGTGTCACTCGTCTTCCCGCTGCGAACGTGTCGCGACACATCCATCTGACGTTTCCAAGACACATTCGCGCCAGCGTGATTTTTCACGGTCGTTGTTACAACCGACATGCTATTTCCGCGCTGGAGATTGTTGACCGACGTTGACAATTCTCTACAGGCAATTTCATATAAATAGATTTTATCCTAAGATTTTTTAGATTTTTAACTGAGAGAGAAGCTTTTAGGATTTGTGAGTAAAACGGAGAAGAAAACTGAGGAAAAAACTTCTTCAGTTCTCTTTCGAATCGTATTGCATTAAATTCGAAAAAAATAGGCTTGATTCATTTTAAACATTTACTTTTTTGGTCTGGCCTCTAAAGTAAATCTTACGTGATGAAAACGTACACGATGAAAATATTAAAAACTAAAATAATTTAGATTATTTTATGTTTTATTTTACGTTTTATTGTACGCTTTATTTTATCCTTTAAATTTGTAAAAATCTCTTCAATTATTTAATATAGTATGCCACAAATGATTTGTAATATATTAACGAATATAATTATTTTTTAAAAAAATAATATCAAGTTCATGTGTCCCTAATTATTTTCTGTACAAAAAATTTATTTTATTTTAAATATCTCTAGTAAATATCTCTATCCGTAAATGAATTGTTTTATTATTTCTACAAAAGATTTGATATCAAAAATTGATGCCAATTTTTAATTTTAATTAAAATAAGAGAAAAAAGTATTATAAAAGTAAAAAGATTTTATTGTAGAAAAATAGTCAGAAAAATTCAATATAATTATTATATTTAAGTATTCCATAAAAATATAAAAAATTCAGTTGTATAAAGTAGTATTAAATTATATAAAAGATTTGATATCACAAATTAATGCCAATTTGTAATTATCAGTACAATTTAATATAATTATTTGTATCTGTGTACTAAATTAAAAAAGTTACTACCACTATGCTAACTTGTAATTGGCAGTTAAATTTAATTTAATTATCCTCATAACCGTATATGAAAAATTTTACGAGAACTTAATTTCACAAATTTTATTGCTCAATGGATATAATTTTTTTGATATACAAAAACTTGGCGCGTCTGAGTCACATTAAAACTATTTTTAATAATTATCAAACAATAATGTAATAAACGAATGTAATAACAGTTTATTAGACTAAACGTTGAATAAATTTTAATATCTTTTGTTTACATAATTTGTTATATATATTTGTTGTATATATTATTATATTTTGTGTGTGTGTGTGTGTGTATATATATACATATATATATATATATATATATATATATATATATATATATTGTATACTTGTACATACATATTATTTATTAAATTTACATTTCTTTTCAAATATGTAAAACGTTTCTATAGATTTTGAAGATTATACTCAAAATTTATACTTTTAATGATAAAGATGAAATAATTGTTTCTGAATTTTTACATGCAGAATAATGATCTTCGCATTTGTAGCTGTTTGTTTTATTTTTGCTTACTCTACTTCGCGTACGCATTTATGAGATCGTTTCGCGAGATTCTTCTAGTATTGTTTGTCTCTCTCAGAGCCAAGAATGTATAATTTATGGCGATGGCTAGCGGCCTGAGAAAGTCGCGTCTCGATGACTCGGTAACCTTGTAATCGGCTGGTCCGGCAAGCTTCTTAAGGGAATTTCACAGAAGGATCCTCCGTGCAGGATCCCTCCCGTTAGCGTTCTCCTCCAGCGAGCGCAGGTATTTCAGGTTCGCGTGATTATTTCGCTTCTCTGCACCGCGAGGAATGCAAGGCTTGACACGAGGAAGACCAATTCCGGAAATTTTGAGGATTATAAAGATATATGTGACGAAATTAATCACATCTTTGGAGACATCTCTCCGCGTTTGGAGTTAAAATATAAATTGTATCAAAATAAGAAAGAACAGACTGTTAAAATAAAAAGTTGTGATTGGCGAAAAAAAAAACCAAAATTACAATGGAATTTTTGAGATGAATCCTATCGAGGACCCCACACAATGTGATTTTAATCCCGCTCTAAAAATCACGCTCGCTCGCTTGCTCGCTTGCTCGCTCGTTAATTAGCGGAAACACAGTCTCGTTCTCTGGCGCGATTAGCATCTCGCGTTTTAATTAGCTACGGCCGCGCCTTATCGGTTTAAAAGGCACCGAATATCGGCATGTTATCTGCCGAGGGACGCCTGGTAACGTTCCAGTCAATGTATCGTATCCGCAACCCCGCAAAGCGAGAAAGGTGGATACAACATAGTGCATCCAGCCGCGAATAAACCACGCGTAATTGCCGCTTGCACTTTAGCCGCATCGCCGTTAGATCGCCCGCCCGTTCGAGAACGACGTTAAATGGACTAGCGGAAAGTGCCGCTTTGCGGCTTCCTTTTCTGGCAGGACAAGTTTGCCGCACATAGAAACGGAAATCTGAGATCGTAAATCTTCGCAAATTCTCTCTCGGAAGCTGAAATATAGAAAAATAACAGGAAAAATAAATCTAAATAATTCAATAAATTTGAATATAAATTTTTCTTTCTTTTTTTTGCTCCTTTGTTCTTTAGCGATCTTTTAATTTCAATCTATCTATCTGATCATTCATTGACACAGATTCAGTTTGCGAAAACTGACATCCGTGAATATTTTGTCAATGAAAAAATATAAGTAAAAATAAATAATATATAAGCTAACATTACACATAATCTGAATATCATCCTTGAGCATTTGCATTAACTTTCAAATATTAATTTATCTTCACCTTCCATTTAAATCGTCATTTAGACCATCGCCATAATCACCAAAGACTCTCTTAATTAACTGACATTGCAATAATAATGCGATTCGCTGCACGTCATCGTGTATGACTCCAAATGCAAATATCCCGCTCATCCTTGGACGGTCAATGCGTCAAGTTGAAAATTGTTTACTTAACAATAGATCGCCGTCGTCGCAGTTCTATCGCGCGAAAACGTGATTTACCGGTTCTTCGATGGCCGGGTTAGATCCTTCCGGTCCTGGACCGGAACAAGTTCGGTATCAAACCGTCCCCCTTTCTCCCTTCCTCCTCCTCTGCATCTGGACGCGAACGTCTCTTTTTCTCGAGTCAGTTCAATTCAACCAAAGACTCCTCATCTTTCATGCGCGTGAAGCAAGGCCGGCTGTTGTTCCTCGATTTTACTCAGACTCAGGCGGCATTCATTCTTTAGTCCGCATATACCGTACTTGCACGATGAATACCTATCCTGTTCGCATTGTAACGCAGTGTAACGCAAACCGTTTATTACGACACATAGGAATTTGGAGAATCTCTAAGAGGTTTTATATATAAAGATATCCTATTTTCATTCTATATTAATTCTATATTAATCTGATAATAATTTAATTTAGAATTTCTTAATTTCTTAATTTCTCAATTTAGGATAGAAACATTTCATTCTAATATTTTTGTAAAGAAAAGCTCGAGTTTAGATTGATTGGGGAATATTAAGAAAATTAAGATTCGATTTCGTGGCAATAGTCTTTAATATACTCGAAGACTTACTTACGTACTTTAGATGTCGCGGCGCGCATATATTTGTATGTGAGATATATTTTCCCATTAAAATTTTTTGTGTTTTTAAGATGGAGACCGAGGTTCGGACGCTCAAGCAGGAACTGGCGCGCACTCAGGACGCCCTGAAGACCGCCACGAAGAGATGCCGGGAACTGGTGAGGGAATTAGATCACCGTATCGCCGGTCACGAATCCGAGAGAATTCTGCGGGATCAGCAGCTTTCGAGGATATTGCGGGCATTATTATTCCTAGAGGCACGCCTTAAGCAGGAGCAGAAATCGATCAGGCAGATGCTCTGCGAGAAGGATAATGTCATTAGGAACCAGCAGTTGGAGATCGCGATGCTCAGGCGATACACAAAGAACTATATTAAGAGCAAACGCGATCAAACGATGCCGGTAGCTGATGTTGAGATCAACACCAATATTGACAAGAATCTGCAGAAGGATTTCGGCAGTTTGCAAGTAATTAAACATACCAATATTAATTAGCCTATATGCTACAAAGGATAGTTCTTAATTAAAAAAAAAAAAAAAAAAAAATAAGGGAATGATTAATATAAGATATAAAATTGAATTCTATATTTCTCTTTTCTGTATTTTCTAAATTCAAACTTATCGAACTAATCGCTTTCAGAGAAACACGCTGCAGGAGAACGGTATCGGCAAAGAGATCGCGAGTCTGAAGTGCGAGATAATCACGCGGCTAAATCCGACATCGTCCGGCATTTTGGATGAGTTGGACCGCAACAGCGTGAAGAAAACACATAGTTTTGCCGGCAGCGATATCTCAAAAGCCAGTCTGACCAGCAGCGAGAATACGGACGCGTCCATCATCACGACAACGACGGAGGGTAGTCCTTCGCTGCTCAGTACAGAAGGATTTTGCGAGGGTGAGAGTACGGATGTGTCACCTGGTTCAACTTTAAATAAATGCTCGAATAGGTGCACTCCAACAACAGTGACTGACAGCGAAAACGAGACGACGATGATTCTGGATGAGGACGAGGATGTAACGGAAGAGAGTGGAATGACGATGGTCTTTACGAAACGGAGGACATTTTTTGATAGGATAAATGGTCAGAAAACGTCGTCTAAGAATCCTGATATGATCGAGATGGTCGGTATCGCGAGAACAGAAAGCAAGGATGACGGGATGGATTGTAACTTCGTCTCTGAGGATGAGGAGCAGGATAACATCAAGATGGGAACAAGGATAAATCATCAAGATGGAAACAAAGAGGAACCGATCTACATCAACGCCTGCAACGAGGTGAACGAAAAAAATTGCAGCGAACGGAGCAGTCAAGGATAAAAGATGATTATAGCAATAATAACGATATGTACGTCGCAAACAATCGTTTTCTTCGTCAGAACTTTAAATATTCAATTATGTTGCTTTTTTTTCTGTTACATTCTTTTATTCTCTAAAAACAGTCCTCTCGATTTCTTTTTCGCAGTGAGGCGAAGATCGAGACGTCTGAGTTAACAGTGGAGGACACCAGTGGAAATTGGTACAGCGACCCCGATGAGGACCGACTAAACGACGATGTATTTAGACACAGCACGTATCGGCCAAATAGTAATCATAACTCTGTATTGGAGTGTGTAAATCAGATCCTGCTACAGGATATGGAAGAGGAGGAGAATTCTGTGTTGTCAGTGCCGCGTCGGTTCAAACATCGTGGCAGAATCGTGCATTTCCAGCCAGCCAGATTGTCCGACATCGAATCGGTAGGTTCGGAGATGGAGAGAAAGAATTCTGAAGAGTCTGTCACGGATAATAAGGATTCATCGAGGGAAGAAGAGATCACGGAGAATATGTCTGAGGACGAGTTTGGCATGAGAATCGTTCAAAAAGAATCAGATAACGGTTCCAAGGACTCCAAAGCGATCCCGCTAGTCATCATCGAACCTAAAATCGATGTTGAAGAAACAAAGGAAACCTTGATAAAATCTCAAGTGAGTAATCCTTCTTTAAAGATGGAGAGAATCGAAGAAAAGACTTGCCTGCAAATGTCCACCAGAGGTTTAACTATTGCTAAAAATCTGGATTACGAGGATATAGAATCGCTGCCGGAAATAACAACGACGTCACCAACGCCACCCAGGACGCCACCAGCGTTACCACCAAAGCCGCAATTCCGCAACAACACGCTAATTTTGAAGAAGATTCCAAGTCCATCGTTCCTGATTGATGAAAAAAGACAACAAGATCCGGGTAACGCGGATTCTACAAAAAAAGGCATTCTGGGTCTAGTGTCCTCTTCGTCATCGAAAACGGCGAGAAGTTTGAACCTGGAGGAAGCAAAAAATTCGACTAGAAGCTCGGCGAGGGAAGCAAAAAATCGCGAAGAGGGTGGGTTTTGGAAAAATAGGTTCAATCACGTGCGCTCATCTTTCCAAGTAAGGCAAAAGGAATCGGATCAGGCAAAAAGCGCGGCCAGGGTGACAAATATCGTTCGGCATTTCGAAGAGTTCAAGATTGGCGATCCCGAGGAGCAAACGAAGGACAGAAATCGCCCGAAGGATCGCTATGCCGAACTCGAACATGTAAGATTTTTTATCGAAAGTGCATATTTTAAGAAAGCTATATTATTTCGAAAATGAAAAATTTTTTTTCTTGTCATAGGAATTCGATATTCGGCAGAACTTTGAGGAATTTAATCTAGACGAATGCGATCTGTCGGATGACCCCGATCGGCCTGAAGGTGATGGGTCTGAGAGACTTGGCCATGCCGGACTTAATAATGTCGGCCAGAATGAGAACAGTATTGCCAAAGACAACAACAATATTCCTACTGTCGATAACGGTATCAATAACAGCAACAACAATGACAATGTCAACGGTGAAATTGGAAATAGCGGATACGATCACTTCTTGGAAGCAACTGGCCTTAGCAACAAATCAATTCTAACACCCTCAAGATTGCTGAGCAATCACAAGAGCATGCTGAAACCGAAGGATGTGAAGTATAAAAGCAGAATCAAAGCTACAGCGGTGTTGGAGAGGCACGGGATACAGACGACTCCAGCCGGCGGTACAACGACGCACGTCAGACACTGGACTGGACCGTTTGTCTGACGTTTGGCTAATTTTTTGCCGGCTGGGAAAAATATCTTTCGCTCTGCCATATCGGCTGATAACTCGCCGGTAAAGACGAATTTTAAAAAGTTCTGATTCTTTAATTCGCTGACAAATTAATTAAATAAACATATTTGGGTATTGCATTTGTATATAGCGAGGCTATCATTCTTAAAATGCAAATTGAATTTTAATAATAATCGATTAGGAACAAGAAATTTTTCATGAAGATACGAGTGAAAAGATAACTTTGCTTCCTTATTATGTTTTATGATGTGTTGTATGTAATTGAAATAAAGAAACGAAGTTATTTTTTCGCGTATCTCTTTCTTCATAAAAAATTCTTTCCTGTTTCTTTATATATGAATGATGTTATTTTGTTTATAAAAGATACACGAGTCGCACTAGATTTTGAAGTTGCACTTCTAGTTAATTTATTTCATTAATCTTTTCTTGAAAAGATGTTTATAACATGTTGATCTAACTATTCTTGCTGTGAAATTGTTTATTAGTCTTTATATGATACATATGTAAAAAAATATAACTTGTCTCGACTTTTGGTATATTTTAATTTATAAAATATTGTAGAAAGAACTTTCTCTATTTTTATTATCTCTTATAATTTTAATCATTTAATGAATAATGGAACATACGTTGGTTTGGATCGACGTTATTTTTTATTAAATTATTATTAATATACAAATTTCTATTTTAAATTACAATTCGTGTATAAGATGTGATGCAATTAAATGGAAATTTATGCAAGGTACGAATTTAAAATAAATAAACTGAGTCGGAGA